TACTGTGTTATTCATTGCAGCTAAGGATTTCGATGATGCCGTTTTACACTTGAATGAAAATTTGCTTTCTCTAAGTAGATGGTTGAAGTATAAGCAGTTGAAATTGAATACAAGTAAAACTAAATTTATGGTAATTTCGCGGAATCGAGTAAATGAGAACGTCTCTGTTGTAATTGATGATGAGACTATTGATCGCGTTCGCGAGATTAAATATCTTGGCGTGATTATTTATGACAAACTTAAGTTCAACTTTCACATTAACAATATCATCAAGAAAATTGCCAAGAAGTATATGGAATTCTATGTTGACTGAAAAACGATTTAACTATTTCCAGTAAAATACAGCTATACAAATCAATCATCTCTCCTCATCTAGACTTTTGCCCTCCCATTTTATTTTTGGCCAATGCAACACAAATATCGAGATTACAGCGCTTGCAGAGTAAAATAATGCGTTTGATTTTGAGATGTAATAGATTCACTTCCCCAACTTTGATGCTAGACGCCTTACAAAGGTTGTCGGTGAAGCAAAGAATAAATTGTATATTTGACAATGGTGTTCATTTTTAAAGTAGTTAACGATTTGCTGCCTCAATATTTGTGTGATTGAATTGAAAGAGGAAGTGACTTTCATAGATATAATACTAGAAACGCAGCTGAAATAAGAACACCACATTTCTTGACTTGTGCTTCACAAAATTCATTATATTATAAAGGAATAAATGTTTTCAATTCGATGCCTAGACATATAAAACGTTCAGCAATACTTACAGAATTTAAAAGACACTGCATTTCACACGTTAAAACTGTCTTTTTAACAGTTATCCAGTGATTTTTTTATGAATTGACAAATTATGTTTCTTGACGAAGTTATATCTAACGGATTATTTTATGTGGATAGCTGTCATAACGACTTTTTAATAATTATTGTAGCACTGCAAAAACTATTTTTGTTCGCCACGAGGGTAATGATGGATTTTTAATAGGGGAAATGACGGCTTCGGCATGACAGACTATTTTCGGCAACCCAAAATGAAACACTGTTTTCACTGGATTTTCTTACGAAAACACTTTGCTGAATGCATGCAAACGATTCTTTATGCTTTCAGCTTCAATTTGACTATATGTTTACCACTGAGAAAAAGCAATCTAGCAAGGTTTTCTTGAAATGCAACACACGCACTTCAAATTGTAGCTGATTTCGAGTTGCCGATAATAGAACAGCAGATTTACATGCAGTTCAAATGGAACGGTTGCCGAAGAAAAACTGGTTGCCGACAATACTCGCTCTCACTAGAGAAGATTGGAGCTTTGTAAATGCGTTTCAAAACAGTTTTCGACAATTCTTTCGACTGAAATTGTTAGAGCAGCTGGCAGCAAAAGATTGTAAACAAACCAATACTGCATATGTGTGCATTCCTTAGAGAAAAAGGCTATAGAAAGAAGGTCGCTGCTTAGGTTGCCGAGAATACGTAAATTCCCCTATTTGATTTAATAGTAGTAGATTTAAAAAAAAAGTAGTCTACAAAGGTTTGAGCCTCGCGCGCGTATTGCAGATATAGAGGACTGGATTTAAAAATTGGTAAAAAAAAAAATGCAATTTTGAAGGTTATTTGGCAAATACCTTGAGTTAGTAGTAAGTTTTCTGGCAAATGTTGGGGGTTCGTGAGCCTTCCTGACATTGCTGAAAATTATGATAGCATCAGATTGCGGGGTTGTTAGTGTAATAGGATGCTTTGTTGATTGTTCATTAACTCTTGATTGCTTGTAATACTTATGAATATTTTAGGTGGACTAAAAGGCGAACTAAGAGGTGGATGCCTGAACTTTTTCACATTTATATCGCTGGGAAGCAACTGTAAACTCTAGAGGAAATTTATATCTGTCACTGTAACCAATTCGATTTTGTTTGCAAACCTGGTTAAATTATCATTAAAATTATCTTAAAGATAAATCGTCCAGCTCAAACATTTGTAGGGGTAAGAGGTGGGACCACCATCATTTAATCCCGTTGCGCGAATCGCTAGGACGGGATTTCATTTTCATTTTGATTACTTGGAGTGGCACATCTGTTCCAGGGATTCACCACTGGGCAGTCCTTTCATGGCAACCTTGAACACACGTTCAGTTTTGGTGTCGTAAGTAAAAAAAATATGCTGCTTCTCAGTAAGATACTTGAGAAGACATTTAAATCCGTCCAAGGTTTCAACGAATACACGGCATTCACCCCGACGTCCAATTTGTAGTGAAAACTTAACCTTCACGAATTTCAAAAGTTCCAATTGGAAATGGTTATCACAATAGGGGGAATCTTTTCCTTCTTGGCATTAAGCCGGGAAAGTTTACTAGAATGTTTCTTGCATGATGGATCATTCTCATCATCCGTGAGCAAATCAAATTGATTACTCAAATTAATTTCATCATAAGGGGGATCAAAAGTTTACCCCTTTCTTTTGCGCTTAGGCGCCATGGCGGCAGTAAATTTTTTATCCAAATCGACTTCCAAGAAGATTACTATAAGAATCTGAAGGATCGAAGAGGAATTTTCCAAATCGATATCCAAGAAGGATTACCTCGGGTAGGGTCCAAACAAGGATCGAAGAGGAATAAAGTTGAACAAGGTAGAAATTTTACAGGTTGAGCACTGAAAAGTGCTGTTTAAATTTGTTGTAGCCTTAGGTAGTAGTAACACTTCGTTCAGCAAAAAAGCAAATAGATCCGCACGGCAAGAGAGCACAATGCGGACTACGGGGTTCATTTTTAATTTGAACTTCTACTAACCCTATGACCATTAGAAAAGTGAGTTTCACATGGCGCTTTTTTGCATTACTCCATTCCATGGGCTAATGACTTTTAAGCAATTTTTAGTTTGCTTGGCGTTAAAAATAGCGGGGTTCAAACTAAAAAGTGTTCAGATTAAAAACGGTCAGATTACCGGGAGTCCACGGTATTGCAAAAAATATGATTAGCGGTAATTAGCGGGTTTTGTAGTAACTTTTGAAATTCCATAGGCTCCACAATTGGAACCAAAAAAAAAAGTTTTTCCTCAAGCTATGACGGTCATTTCAAATTATTGAATATTTTATAGCATCCCTAACCCGATGATTTCGTTACACGGATGGAATTTTCGTTCGTATGAAAAATAAAATAAAACCACCAGTTGTATTGGCTACATCCATCTCTCTGCATGGCTGGCAGCTCAGTGCAATACATATAGCGACAAACATCAAACGGGTGGATTGTGACTTTAGGCGGATCGTCTTGCAAACAAAGTCGAGCACAGTGATTCTAATTGATGAGTTATCCATTCAAATTGTAGAATTTTCACCTTTATTAATTTATGTTGTGATTAATTTAATTTAGAAATTCGTCGCAACCATGCATTAGTTAGGGGCTGTTCATAAACTACGTAGACATTTTTGGAGAGGTTTTAGACCCCCTTCACCGTGCATACAAACCCTAGAAAAAAGAAAACTTAAAACCTGTCATAATGTATACAGTCATGATATGGAAGGGTTGTAAAGGTTACAATTCAAAACTATGAATGTGTTTAAAAATATTTTCATTAGAATGTAGGTAGATATTAAAAAAAAAATAGATGAGGAAGAAATCCTTTCCGCAGAGTTCCACGTTAATACCAATATGTTCGCCATACCACCAACTACCTCTTGTTGCCAGAAACATAAGGCCTTAACTGTTTGCATTGCTCAAATAATTGAACAACTTCTTTCGCTTGTTGCAGCTGCTTGCATTTTTGCAAAAACAACGTTCCGGTCATGTTTGGAAGCAAATGAAATTGAACGCTATATTCAAGCACATTAATGTCCATTTTTATACTTACGTTGTTCCCATTGTGAATCGCAGGGAGCAGCAAGAGGAAACTGCAATGTGGATATATCAAGTGTGGTCTTTCGCATCTTTCTGCCAAGTCTAATGAAACGGTTAAGGATCACGACGATGAAGAATGTTTTGTGACAATAGTGAATGTTTTGTTATGGTGATTCCTCGTCGTTGAGTTATTTTTGGCTTGCATATGTCAATTTTAATTTGTTTCTCATATTCTACCAATAATGTGATGTGACGTGATGAGAAGCCACCATCAGCACAGACGGACTGGTCATGAAGTACGGTGCCTCCTAATAGCTAGGTCAATCTGTGATATCATGGACCCCACACAAATCAATATTATTGAAAATTATCGTAGGGGAGAGTGGACACACCTGATGCCCTGTTTGAGTGTTTAGCTTCATGTTAGATAGCATTATTTGCAACCAACTCTGAGTAACTAGTTGTTTTATTTAAATATTGTTGTAAAGTTAAGTGTTATAAATACTAGACATACTCAAACCTAATCAAATAACACACTTTTAGGTATATAGACGTGGGTTACATGTGATCCCTGCCACACAATTATACTAATGCAAAAATAGTATCGAAAGCTCTCAATTAACTGTGGAAGTGCAGCTAGAATAAGTTAATCGTAGTGAATGAGAATCAACCCTGTGGATCAGCCATTTCTCAAAACAGATTTGATTTGTCTCTTGCTGTAGTTTTGATAATTTTAGAAGAAAATTATTTCAGTTGTTTGAGTATTTATTTAATTTATATCTCGGAATCTTTAAGCATACACAAACCATGAAAAACCTCAATTTATATCCATTGTACCCTTCCCACAACAGGTAGCCAACCCAAATCAGATGTCACAAACAAATTGAATAGACCTCAGCGTAAGATTTCCCTATTCTCCGTTTATTTCCTGTCCTCAAAACGGTTCCTTTCCACTCGGTAATCTTATCAGACCATCTGAATCTGAACTGAATGGCCAAACATAACAAATGGAAGAGAAAAATATCAACGATTTCACCCACTTGTTTCGCGTCGAGAGTGTCGTCATTTGATGCCTTTTCTTTGACTGCCTTGTACCATAGAGCCGTAAAATATGGAGTGGTCTCAATCTTACATTTGCGTTTTGTATTTTTTGTTGTTGTTTTTCTTTGCAGATATCTTCACATGCTGTTCGGATGTGCACGGTTCATGTAAAGCGGCGTGTGAGAGCGTGAGTATGATAGAGGATTTTTTGTGCAGCTTTATTTTATTCATGTTTTCACTCATATCGATCGTCACGCTGTTTCAATTTTTACGACCTTTAGGTGTCAGGAAACCTCGTTGTTGTGGAATTGGCTGTGGAGCGTGTTTCCTTCTATCAAGATCAAAAGTGAATTTTGGCAATAATGTATGCTAATGTGTGGTGATGATGAACGCCTGAGTTATATATTTGAAATTTGAGAGAATATTTGCAGTTTTATAAGAATTTATTTGTGGTTGAGCTTCTTGCGATGCTTATGTTTGGTTATTACAGCTCAGTGATATTCAATGTATTAAATCATCAATATTTGTTATTTTTGTAAATCTGTTTATTGTGCTGTAGTCTCGTAGTGACGTTCTGTTATATGACGTAATTGATAATTAGTAATTAGTAAAAAAAAAAGTTTTTTTCACATTCTCAGCATCAGTAACAGTCACAGTCACACGGATGTCACATGATCAATGCAGTTGTTATACACAATCGCTATGTTTTTAGCAGAGCAACTCAATCGTCGTTGAATTTTCAAAACTTTACACTCCTTACACTTTTCAATGTGACTCAGAAGACCATACGAGGCCACGTAATTCCGCACTGTTTCAAATAAAAGCGACTGCTTATTATGCACGAGAAGAGCAACGTTTTCGATATTGTGTCGACATTTCCTGGCTAATTTGGCGATCTTCTTCTCCAGTATTTGTTGATCGTTTTTGGTTGGTTGAATGTCGCCGTAAACAAGTGTAAGATGAGTTTTGGAGTATCCATCCAGGCATTCCCAACTAGTGGCAAAAGCGGTTGGTGCTATCTTAACGGCCCAACAGAGATGAGCGTGATTTGTTACTCTTCGAATCGAGACAAATCTAGATGAATGTGACTTGTTGTTTTGTTCCACGGGTTCCATGGACATCGGTTGATGTCCAGTAGCTGCAACGATTAGGGCAAAGGAAATAGCCCAGTTTGATAAGTATTGTACGATTGACGCCATTTGTAAAACTGATGGAGAAATAGCTATTGGCAAACCAGAACTGCAGTATTGATTTGTTCGTACTTGCTGGGAATAATGTATTGTTGATAATGTCTGGCACAGACAGCAAACATAGCAACTGTTCAATTACTTAACGCCTATTCAATGTATTACCATTGATTGGAAAATAATGTTCAGTATACAATGGTTTGAATTATATTAATGACGTATCTTGTATCAAAATCTCATTCTTTCTTTATAGAAATCATCCACTTCTTAGAATCGAAAAATTTGGATTGATGGCTTTTCGCCTGAAACTGATCATAATTAATGACTGTCGCTTCCCCGCTCAACTGACGGCTCAATCATCGTTGCCTTCCTTTGGGATAGGTTTGACTTGCATATTAATATTTCATGCATTGTTATTTTGACTTGTTGGTTTTGTGCTGGAGCAGCGTTTTTGTTTTTCGAATAACCCGTGGCGACAATATGAATTTTCTAAAATACGACGGATGACGCATTTTTCGTTACTTCTATCCTCTTTTATGATTTATACAACTGGTTGCGTCCATATATGCATCTTGTTTGTTTTTAATACATTGTAGGTGCCCTTCTTGTTTGCTACTGTGATTCACGTTCGGGTGTCGGAACATGGAATCACACACTTTTCTGCGTAGTTGCCAACGGGCATAATTTATTACATTTCTTCTTCCTGTCATACTGAGGTGAGGCGACTAGATTGCTGCATGCGAATCAGGCACATTATTTACAGTTGAGGATCAACGGCCTTTCGTTTACACATTTCTCCACATCAACCACCAAGTGTAACCAAGTTGAGCCATCACGAACGAATTCATTTTTAGCGTTTAATTTAATCATGTGCTTAGTTTTCTGAAACACGGAAATTAAGCTATGTTGACACTTGCCGGATGTATCGGTTTAGGCACCGATTAAGCGGCACATTCATCGTGAGACATCGCTTGTTTATAGTTATGCTTGTGGTCATGATCTTGGAGCTACAAAAGAAAGTGATTTAATTTTGGTTGTTTACATACTGGAGATGTGCTCGGTCGTGTAGAGAAACTATAATTAATTTAACTCCCCTCTACAATTATGGATCACTTAAGAGGAATGCATGTCTTCAAAAAATCATAATTAAGTTATTTTATTGTTTTATTGCAATGCAAATAACGCTTTTCCGTACCTGAATATTTATTCTTTCGGTTGATTTTGTAATTATTTCCATGTAAAGGGCGAACACGAAATTATTGCGACACATTCAACAGGGCATAACTTTTTACCATTGGGTAAAAATCAACCAAATTTTGCACACTTTCTCATTGATGTGTATTGTGTACATGCTGTCAAACTCGAAGTCGTGTTTTTCAATTCAACGAAAATGGAGGTGAACCAACGCGAGTTGAGAGAACAAATTCTTTCCAAACACCTGGAATTTCCTGACCTGTCGCACCGGCAGTTGGGAAAAATGTTGAACATTCACCATTCAACCGTCTCCAGAGTGTTGAAGCGGTTCCAGGAGCGGTTGACGTTGGACCACGGCAAAGGAGCTGGAAGAAAACCGGGACCGGAGAACAAAAAGACGGAGGGAAAGGTGAAGCGGATGATTAAAGCAAATCCCAACGTCTCAAGCCGTGATTTGGCTAAAAAGATCGGCATGTCGCAGAGCTACGTCCAGAATGCAAAGAAAAGAGCTGGACTACATACATACAAGATACAGAACTTCCCAAACCGCGATGAGCGGCTACAATCGACGGCTAAAACTCGGGCACGGAAGCTCTACGAGAAGATGCTGACAAAATATGGCTGCTGTGTGATGGACGACGAAACGTATATAAAAGCCGATTTTAAGCAAATTCCGGGGTTGGAGTTTTTCATCGGCAAGAGGAAATTCGATGTGATTTAAGAAGAAGAAAATGTCGAAGTTCGCCTCCAAATATCTCATTTGGCAGGCCATCTGCTCTTGCGGACTGAGGAGTGAGCCTTTCGTGACAAAGGGCACAGTAAATGGCGAGATCTACAAATCTGAGTGCCTCGAGAAGCGCCTTTTGCCGTTCTTGCAGCAGCATGACGAAGCTCCGCTATTTTGGCCAGATTTGGCATCATGCCACTATTCTTAAAGTGTCCTGGAGTGGTATGAGGCCAATTCTGTCCATTTTGTTCCAAAGGACATGAATCCGCCAAACTGTCCGGAGCTGCGCCCGGTGGAGCAGTACTGGGCAATAATGAAGCGGGAACTTCGGAAGAGCAAGAAGACAGTCAAAGACGAGAAGGACATGTTAAGAAAATGGAAAAAAAAACTGAGAAACTGGTACCGGATGACACTGTAAAGACTTTGATGGAGGGCATCAAGCGAAAATGCGTTCAATTTTACACTCAAGGCTCCATCGATTAACTTTTCTTTTGATTTTTGAAGTAAATATATGTATAAAACTACCCTAAAATTTTGGTTTGATTCTAAGCATTATAAGAAAATTGGCATGACATTTTCGGTGTCGCAATAATTTCGTGTTCGCCCTTTAATGTAAATTTTTCTCGCAAAAATGTTTTTCTCATGATTCAATTAATACATAATTATGGATCACTTGTAGGACAGGTCACAATTATGGATCAATTTGCATCATATTATGGATCAATAAATACAAATAATTTTTCTCAACTGATTTATTCAACAGAACTCATTCAAATTATGACATTGCAAAAAAAAACTCTTTATTGGTCTTGGGTTTTCTGGCTACTCTTTTTGTAGATTTTTTCTTATTTTGATTTTGTTTTTCTTTCTTAAGAGCACTCTTTAGAAGCTTTTCTTCATCTCTTTTTTGTTTCAGAATTCTACGTTCCTCGATCTTTTCTTTCTTGGCATCTTTGATTTATTTCTTTTTCAAATCCTTTTTCTTATATCATTGTAGCAACCTATCACTGGTAGTCACAGATGGCAAATGTTTCTGAATACGACATTCCCGTTGGTTTGGATCAGTGGGTGCAACTCGCGGCCAGACTAGTACATCTTTAAATGGATCCTTTGAGTTTGAACTGGATGTAATTGAAGTTTCCACATTTTCTGTCAAATTGTGCCATTGGATAGGGTTTAGAGAATCTGTTACTGAATTTGAGTATGAGAAAAGTGTTAGCTTACAGATCATACAAGTTTACCACAAGTCCCTCACCCGAGTAGGCAGCAGAAGGTAGAACAACGCAATCCTGATCATCGCTTGTGGAGTTAACCCCAATGTCTGAATAATATCACCATAATATAAAAGCAAACTTGCAAATGCTCATTACAGCTAAAATGCTGTTTTTCGGATTTATGAAGCTATGTAATATTTTAATGATAATTCTTATTTACAAGATGCCAGAACAGAAGGTAAAGTTTCATGTCAATTTAGCTTTCAGAGGGTCACAATAGCGATTAGCTGTAACGATGATCAACGCGATGAGCAAGCAATCAGCGATCATAAAATCGCTAGTAGTGACCTTCTGAAAGCAAAATTGACAAATTTCATATGCCATATAAAAAACTTTACCACCTCTTCTTGCATTTTACAAATAAAAACTATCATTATAGTATCCCATTGTTTCATAATAACGAAAAATAGTATTTACAGCACAATTGCAAGCCTGTATAAAAGAGTTAAATGAATGAACATATTAAAATAATTTCTTATCACTGTTTACTTCACGATCTGTTTCTGGTAAATATGAGCATTTGCCGTTATCGTTCACAACCAATTCCAAGGTATCACTTTGAAGCGGTTATGTTGAAAATAGTAATTCGGCTTTGCTCTTATTTAACTTCCAGAAATTTAACAAAGCGGGCTCTTCGAGTGGCCCATAACAAAAATCTTTCTGCCTGTTGTTCTAAAATATCGACAACTGATCGAAATTCAATCCCAGCTATGTATTTCAGTTGAAGTTGATAGTCATGAGCAATAGTTTGACTTGTTGCATTCTCAGTTGATTCATCCACTTCTACGCACTCGGTAGGATTTTC